GTGGGTCCTAGGCCTTGAACTCAGTCAGATTGTCAGTCTTGATGGCAAGTGCCTTCACCTGCCGAGCCGAGCCATCTTGCCAGTGCCTGGGGACAGGTAGGTACATATAAAATTACAAATGGTCTCCTGGAGCCCAGACTGGCCTCAAACTCTATAGAACCAAGAACGTCCTTGAACTTTCAATTCTCCTGTCTCTCTGCTTCCAAGTATTGAGATTACAGGACACCATCCCTGGCTGGTTTGATTTTTTTTTTTAGTTTAATTAAGTCATATGAAATTTCATCTGGTATGTGTTGGGATTCAATTTTTTTTTTTACTCTTTTTTCCCCTTTTAGTGTGTAGATGTATGTTGTGTGGGTAAATGCGGGTATATGTTTTTGTATGTGTATGGGCTCACATGTGTGTGTATGCATATGTGTGGAGGCTATGTTACTCCCACTCTGGAAGGGTTTCTTGCCAATTCAGCTACTATAGCTAGCCAGCTTGCCTTGGGGGATCTCCTGTCTCTGTCTCCCAGGTGCTATTTTTTTACATGAGTTCTGAGTATCTAATCTTCAGTCTTCATGTTTGCACAGCAAACCTATTACCAACTGATTCCTCTCCTCTGATCACTGGGATCTTATTGTAAGATGTGCATCCTGTGAGATACTTGTTACAGACCCAGGGATTCCTGACACCTCCCTGCCTTGAGATTTCAGCTGGGCAGGTGTGAGGATGGGGATCAGAAATCCACATTTGTTTCAATCACTCCAGCTAATCATGGTGCATAATGGCCCTGATAAGACTTTCAGAAATTGTTATGGTATGCAGTATAGTCTGCTTAGTGACTGTGGCAGTCCCCCTCAGCTTCTGGGTCACTACATGATACAATCCATTCTATTGATAACTGCTGGAGTTCTCCTGTAGAAACATCTCAGGAAAATTCTTTGTTAGCTTCCAACAGTTACAGGGATCACATTAAGCCAGAGTTCCTGACCTTCCACTATATTTTGGGATCAATCTAATCAGCTAGAAGGTCATGGCTGTGTCATGTACTTTTCCCATCTAGCCAGGCCTGCATGCTGATGAGCCTTGAATGGTTCATGCCTGTCGTCATGCTGAAGCCTTCAGCATTCCCAGAGGCTGTATAGCCTAGACACTCAAGCCAGTTCTCACATCCTTTTCCTTTCCTGGCTTCTCAAATGATGGCTGCCTTCGTAGAACTACCAATGTTCTGACTGTTGTGTATTTCTACCCAGTGAGTCTTGTCTTTCCCCCCAATTCAATCTTCAAGGGTATGGTATGTGTATCTTATCCCTCAGAGTCTCTATCATAGTTCTAGGCATTAGAAAGTGCTGTTATATAGAACTAAGCCAGCCCTTTCAAATCATTTTAATACATGTTCCTTTAAAAACGAGTTTTAATTTATGTGTGTACATATGTGTCTTTGTGAATTTATGGGCACCATGTGCATACAGTTGCCTGTGGAGGCCAGAAGGCACCAGATCCTCTGGAACTGGAGTTGTAGGCAGTTGTAAACATCCAGATGTGTGTACCGGGATCTGAACCTGGGTCCTCTGCAAGAGCAGTAAGCACTCTTAACCACTGAGCCGTCTCTCCAATCCATGTATTTCTAAGAAGGAATTCTGTAGCATCTCACATATCTTTTCTTGCATCAAACTGAGAAGGTTTGAAAAATTCCTAGATATTTCACTTTGTTGTGATTTTGTTTGCTGATAACAAGGTTAAGCAGAATGTTATCTTGGTTCCAGTGATTATCTAATTCAACAATACTACGTATCACCTATGACATGCCCACTTACAGATTTTCTGCTTGAAGAGTCTAACCTTTACTATAATGTGGGCTATTTCTTACTCCTCCTACAGATGTAATGGTTTCTCTTTTTCGAGAAGAGCATGTTTTATTGGATTAAATAAATATAAGGGGGTTAATGGCTAAGTAATTTCATTTTGGCTTCCTTAATCTCCTTTCTCTTTCTCCCCTTCAGGGTTCTGCCTCCCTGAAGGACAGAAGTGCTTTAAATGATTTCGAGTGGAGTAGGTGGGGACACCAAAGGAACTGCCTTTTCTCTTGCAGTAGGCAAGGGGGTAAGATTCAGTTCATCAAATATTTATCGAGTTCTTCTGGCTCACCTAGCTCTGTGCACAGCACAATGGAGGACACCAAGATGGGAAGTGATGGCTGGGTGGGAGCGCGGGAGAAGGGGAAAGTTTAGGAGGTGGAGTAAGGGGCAGGCTGGCATTCCACATGGGAGGTACTAGAGAGGAGAAAAGGAAAAGAAAGCAAAGGTGAACTCTCTGGCCTTTCTTTTAATTAAACCTTTTCATTTATTTTACATACCGACCACAGTTTCCTCTCCCTCCTCTCTTCGGGTTCCCTCCCATTTGCCCCGCCCACCCCACCATCCACTCCTCCTCTGTTCAGAAGGGGCAGACTTCCCATGGGAGTCAAGAAAACGTGGCACAACAAGTTGAGGCAGGAACGAGCTCCTCCCCCTGCGTCAAGGTTGGGCGAGGTAATTCAGCGTGGGGATTGGGTTCTCAAAAGTCTCTGGACTGTTTTTATGTGATAAAGGCCCAATAACCACTGCAGCCATGGCTTGAGCTTGGATTTTGAGAGCCTTTAGAGCAATTAGGATAGCCACAATTTCAGTCAAAAGTAGCTATTAGGAGTTTTTGCGTGTGCACACACAATATTATTATTTTATCATCATGATGAATATCAAACCCAATCTTCCTCTGAGTTAAATCCTTAGTCCCTAGACTCAATCAAGCTTTCTTTCTTTTGTCTTTTTTCTTTCTCTCTCTCTCCCTCCCTCCCCCTCTCTTTCTTTCTTTTTTTTTTTGTTTTTGTTTTTTTGACAAGGTCTTACTATGTAGCTCTGACTCCTGGAACTCACTATGTAGACCAGGCTGGCCTCAGACTCACAGAGATCTACCTCCTTCTGCCTCCCGAGTACTGGGACTAAAAGAGTGTGCCACCATGTCTAGCTATTTTTGGGGGGTTATGGAGTAAATTTATTTGATATTGTATAAATGAACACCATGTGAGCTTTGGAAGGTTGTGAGCCACCATATAGGTGTTGGCAATTGAACCCAGGTCTTGTGCAAGAGCAATAAGTATTCTTTTTTTCCCTCTGAGACAGGGTTTTCCTGTGTTGCTCTGGCTGTCCTGGAACTAGCTCTGTAGACCAGGCTGGTCTCTAACTCACAGAGATTTGCCTGCCTCTGCCTCCCAACTGCTAGGATTAAAGGCGTGCACCACCTTCTGTCCGAGCAAAAACTATTCTTAATCACTGAACCATTTCTCCAGCTCCTGTTTGTATTCTTAAAAAATTATTTTATCAGTATAAATGTTTTGCCTGCATGTTTCGTTCACTCCCTGGGATTAATACTATTAATACCTTTGCACACAATAAGCATGCTATGCTTTGAATGAAATGAAAGACCAACGGAAATGTGCTTCCTATATAAGGTCAATTGCATAAGCATAAAAATTAGCCAAGTGCACAAAGGGAGGTTTGTAATCTCAACACTTGGGAGGTGGAAGCAGGAGGATCAAGAATTCAAGTCCAGCCTATGCTGCAGGAGACCCAAACAAAACTAAACAAAACCCTAGCCACAACAAAGAACAAGCAAACAAAACCACGGTTAGGTCTCAAACCTGGGACAAACAGCTGAGGTGCCCATTTAACATATCAAAGTAGGCCCGGCCTAGCATCCCTCAGTCCCTATGGGTTACAGGGTCTGACTGGCATACCCCACCCCCTACCCTAAACTTCTCAGGCCCTTCCCCCAGCTGCTCTTTCCTACATAATCCAGCCAACTGGTCTGGTTACCTGGTCTTTTTGTCTCCCGTTTACCCTTCTGGCCCCTTGGTCTGGCTCTCCCCTCTCCCTTCTCCTCACGTGGTCTAGCTCAGGGTCATGTTCACTCTGGACTCTCCCAGCTGTCTCTGCCTCTGTCTACAATTTCCCTTTTATCTACAATAAACCTTCTCCTCCACCATACCTAGGAGCTGTCACGTCCTCCATTTTATTTTTTCTTTCAACCACCAAAACTCAAACAAGACATTTTTTCTATTGCCACATAAAACAGAGGGGAACGATTGTCTGAAAAATTCTCTGGCTCACTCTAGTTCTTTTACAATGAGAAAGGACTTAGTGAAACAATCTTGCCCTCTTTGTCCAAATCTTCCAACTCCCGTATACATGGGATTTCTTTTGAAATTCTTTTGAAAATGTTTTATGCTGGGTGTGTAATCCCAGAACTTGGAAAGTTTACATAGTAAATTACAGGTCAGCAAGGAGTGCATAGCGAGACCCTGCCTCAAAGAATTATCACATCTTAATTAGTTGATTAATCAATCAATCAATGAATTCTGTATGTAGAGTCGAGAGTTCACGTGTGTGGGTGTGGGTGTAGGTCAGAGGACAGCTTGCAGCAGTCCGCTTTTTTCATCCACTAGGTGGGTCTGGGGAATGGAACTAAGTTGTCAGGTTTGGTAACAAGCTGCTCTTTGCAGGGTAAGTGAGATGGCTGAACTGGTAAAAGGGATTGCTGGCAAATCTGATGGACTGAGTTCGATCCCAGAGATCTATAGAGCAGAAAGAGAGAAATGACTTTAGCAAGTTGTGCTCTGGCCTCCACACATGGGTGATGGCACACGTGAACTAAATAAGTCCGTATCATTAAAAAATTAAGAACAGAAAAATTCTTTGGGTTGAAAGGGTTCAAGTGTAGCATCGCTGGGATGGGCAATACCATTAACAAGGTAATGTGAATTTCTTCAAGATTTTCTTCCTTGGCTTATGCAGATCTCTATTTGATGGGGAGAAAAGAGCAGCAGTGGGCAGGGTCGCAGAGAGGAACTTGGGGGAAAAAAAGTCCAGCAGGCTGCTGAGACAGGAGCCCTTCCTAGGCTCCTGTAGAGTCAGTGAGATGGGGCGGCGTGCGAGCCGGAGGAGGAGCCCCGCAGCGCTGGGAGGAGCCAGGGCAGGCGGGCTAGGGAGCCGCGCACCAGGAAGTGACTCGCCCCCGTGACCTCCGGCCCGCGGCTCTGTCTGCTGGCCTTTTGGTTTGCCACTGTACGTCCGTCGGAGGCTTTAGTGGCTCCGAAGGTGGGTAAGTATCCTGGAAAACCCAATTTTGGGAAAACTGTTCCCTGCTCCCAAGTGTCGGGTTTGGGACAGGAAGGAGGCAGGCGGAGCCTGGGATGCCACCCAGGGTGGCTGTGCAAGGTCACAGCCAGCCTAGTGTCTACCATCACAGCCCCCCCCCCCATCCCTCCCCTAGCTCAGCCCTGCAGCCTGCCTACGGTTTGCGGGTTTGTGTTGGCGTGCCCTAGCGTCTGTCCTCTAACCCACTTAGTTACATTTCCCATTGCTGTGCTAAAATACCCTAACAAAAGCAGCTTTAAGGGAGAAAAGGTTTATTATTTGTTAGGCTAACAATTGCAGCTTCCAGCAGTTTGTTAGGAAAAAGTCAAGAACTTGAAGCAGCTAGTCACATCCACAGTCAATGAATGGCACGGAGAGAATGGATGCATATATGCTTCTTATTCAGCTTGCTTTCTACAGTGTCCTGCCGTCCAGCACTGAAACTCAGAGACAGTGCCCACAGTAAGCTGGGTCTTTCCACAACAGTTAACATAATCAAGACAAACTCCTCTCACATTGTCCACAGGCCACCTTGTTCTAGACTGTCCCTCCTTAGATATCTATCCCTGCATACTCCCCCCCCAGGTGTAGCCTTGACAATTAAAATGAACCATCACACACACACACACACACACACACACACACACACACACACACACACACACCACACCTTATAGACTATTGTGGGACAGACTTATTCAGAGAGGTCTGGTTGGATGGATGGACGTGGCTGCATGTGGTTTGCTGTGGAACTCATTAGTAAATTAATTTTCTCCTTTGCTTTAGTCAATAACCCTGCTGGGGTCCAGCCAATGGAAGGGCAGGTAATCAGAGTTCCTACCAGTGAATATTTTGCTTCAAGGGATCTTTAGCTCATGAGGCTTAGACCTTTCAGATGTTTCTGACTTGAACTTCTGAGCACTGGAGGTAGATTGTCCACTGAAGTCCAGGAAAGTAAACATAACTGTAGGTGGTTGCTATAAACTCTTGGATTTTCCAGTCAGTGGTTAATCCCAAGGCAAGAACAGAGAAGTGCTCTCTCTCTCTCTCTCTCTCTCTCTCTCTCTCTCTCTCTCTCTCTCACACACACACACACACACACACACACAC